TTGTCACTCCTGGGTAGAGAGAGACAGTGTGAAACTACAACTACATGTACAACTGATCTTTCCCAGGTCATCCTGGTAGCCTGAATGTACACTATGCTGTGTTCACATAAACTTAATGCACCCAGGAAATAGGATCAAACTGTTTTTCTTACAATTACATCACAAGAGCAACCATTCTTTTGATAAATGACATTCAATGGAGCTGTTACTTGCCTCTTCAGAATGTATTGTAAGCCTTAGAAACTCCAATTTAACTCAGTTGATAAAAGTAAATGGATCAATATCAGTATCTGGGCAACTGCACACTTACCCCTCCCCTAACTCAACATTAACCCTAACTTGTTTTCAATTGACTGTTGTTGAGTTAGGGGAGGGGTAGGTGGGCATTTGACCAGATACTGATAGTGATCCAAGTAAATTATCTAGTAATACCCCTTCCTTGCACTAATGCAGCACCACAGTTTTTTTAAAAAACTTGCCCCCCCCCCCTTGTTAATGCAACAGTTTTGAAGTTGATGGAAAATTGCCTGTGTGAGCAATCCAAGTCTCAAATGTAGTTTGAAAAGTGAAGTGTTATCAATTGTTATGCTGCTCATGTTATGTTCAGGCCTTGGGAATGTTCAGTTCCGCTCTGCAGTCAGGTCAGCTGGGTCCTTTGATGGGTCAGTTTGGGTTTAATGATGAAGTCATGGGAGCTGCAAGGAGAGGAGGTAAGGCAGTCTTGATTACATGGTGAGATTATTTCCAATTATTGGACAGTGCTTAAAAAACTTTTCTGGAGGCTTTTCCAGCATGGCTTCAAGATGTGAAAAGGCTATGCATGCCTAGCAAATCTGGTCTAATGTGATGGGTAGGCCACGTCTGAAATGTGTTTTAGTTACCAAACTACCTTGTCTTTCCTTCTTTATTTTAGACATGGTTGGATTTGTGCGTGCTGTCCAGGATTCATCTCGTCCCAGTACTGCTGATAGTACCAGTACCTCTGATGCAACATCACGGCCAACTACAGCTAATGATGGTGACCAGGAGACCGAGGACAAAGATAAGGACGAGGATGAGGCTATGAGTTTGGACTGATTGAATTGAGTTACTGATTAAGAGAAGTGCCCTTCAAATTTCTGTGTGGAATTGTCAAAAATAAATTGTCAACTAGTTAGGTTTTTTTCCCTCACCATATTTTGTGTTTTGGTTTCAAAGGAATGTAGGCATGATGGTTGTGTGTTTATTAAAATTTACCCTATATGTGCAAAACTTTTGTCTCTTTTTTTGCTCCCAAGAGCTCATGATAGCCCTAGTAGTCAACTTAGTAAACTTTTTAAATATGAACTTTGCCACCAAAATCAATTGGTAAATCATTTTCCTTTTTATTTTATAGTTATCATTCAATGTCTTTTAATTTATGTTTCATCTGTTCATTTCTGTATTATTTCCAGTCCATTTAATATAAGATAAATTTAATCTAATTTGGTAGAAAATTGACCTGCCTCAATTTGCATCAGCTATCTGCCAGTCAAAGGAATATTTTGTACTCTAAATGTGAGAAATAGATAAAGTGTGAGAGGTGTGAATAAGGAAAAAAGCTATTTAGAAAAATACCTGTTAATTTCTCTTGCAAATTAGTAGGAACTAAAAGTCTGGAGTGAACCTGTAAACTCTAATGGGTCACTAGCATATAATTACTAACCACATTGGGATCAATATCAGTATCTGGGCAACTGCCCACCTACCCCTCCCCTAACCCAACGTTAGCCCTAACTTGTTATCAATTGACTGTTGTTGGGTTAGGGGGGGCAGGGGGGAGGGGTAGGTGGGCAGTGGCCCAGATACTGATATTGATTCCCACAGGATCACATTGTAACTTCTAAATCAAACGGCAAGGTTAAGAGAGTTAAGGAAACTATTAAAAAAAAATTTTAAACTAGAAGAACCCCTTTTTCCTTTCAATAGCTGACATTACATATAAAATTATATAAAATTGTCATGAGTTGACATGACAAAAATATGTTTCATAAATCAAAAATATTCAATCATGCTTGTAAGTGCCACACCATTTCCAAATAGAACTATTTATTATCCAACTGCACTTAGTATCTTGTTATTCTGCACTGTAAAAAACCTGTTTTAACAGTTGGCTGTGTGTGCTATGCTTCACTACCCACTTTTCTTCTCCTGCTGTATGAGAAATGTAGACTTACACGTAAACTTCACAGATAAAAAGCAGTTGGATAATAAATAACATATTTGCCATTTTAGTGTGTAATATCAGAGTATTTTTACCCATTGATTGTATTTTGACTTGTCCTATGGGCTCATCAAAATGCAAAAAATTCAAAACTGTAAAAATACTCCGCTTTCCTTTGCACTAAATCATCTAATAAGATAAAAATATTAACCCTTTACTTCCTAACATGAGAATCCATATTCTCTTCACACTTCTCTATAAATTTCCTTTAAGTACTAATAACAAGACTTCATTTAAAAATCTAAGCTTCTTAGATTAACAACCACTTATTTTATTATCCTGATGTTAATAAAAGATTCAGCAAGATTACTGTAAGGAGGAATAAAATGCTAGTACTTTTTTGGGAGTCCTCCAAATCAGACAACAGACAGTGTTGAAATGATTTAAATCCTTTCAATCAAACTTCTCCAGGCTCTCTCAACTTGCTCTTGAGTAAACTCAGGTTCCCACAAAGTGCAAATGGCAACATTTGCCTTTTTCATCCTTTCTTCATTGCTAATCTGGGATTTAATTCTGTTGAGAGCCTGTTCTTCTGAGATGCCATCTCTTGAAAGAATGCGCGTCACAGCCTCATTTTCTGGGACAAATGTCACCCATACTTCATCAGTTGCTTTGTCCCAGCCAGCCTCCAAAAGAACTGCAGCATCCAAGATGCAAACCTTGAAACCTTCTTCTGCATATCTTGCAATTTCTGCTTGGGCTTGTAACAAAATTTCTGGCCAGACGATGCGATTTAGCAATGTGAGCTTGGCCTTGTCAGCAAAAACAACAGAGCCCAGAGCCCTTCTGTTGATGTTCTTTTCCTCAGTCAGAATTCCATTTCCGAAGTTCTCAATAATTTCTTTGTAAGCCTTCTTCCCTGGTGTGTATGCCTGATGTCCCAACTGGTCACAGCTAATGACTGCGGCACCCAGGCCTCTGAGCCTTTGGCAGACTGATGATTTTCCACTAGCAATCCCTCCTGTTAGACCAATGACATAAGGGTGCCCATGTGCTCTTTCTTTCCTAGCAACAGGTTGTAAAAGTTTTCCCAATAATTTCTGTCTTTCCATGGTAGAACTCATCTTCTCTTCTCCATGGTGGTGTCTTCCCTGGTTTGACTCCATGTCTTTTTCAATGACAACATCAATCACATGCACATCAAGTGGGTTCAAACCCTTTTTCTCACGCATGTCATTCACCACAAATCCTCCTTTCTCTGTTTCCTTACTAACGATGAGACACTGGTATTCTGGGTCAGTTCCTGCTGGACCAACAGGGTCAGTCAGTGGTATGATGTTGTGTTCCAAACCTGGGAAGTATACATGTGTTTAAGATTTTTGGAATTTCTGATTTTCAGTGCAGAACCACAATAAATTATAAATTATTACCAAAGAAAAAGTTATTTTGATACAGACACAGGTAATGCAGTCATTACACCAATTGAATGGTAATCTTTTGGGAAAGGAGAGGGCTGGGTGTAACCATTCAACTTCCAAGATCTGATTGTTAATTCTCCCCTCTAGCTGCTACACATTTCCTTGTAAATAAGTTATAAGAATTTGATGTTAGATCAAGATAACAACTTCTACTTGATACATTTGAGTATTCTCATTACTTGTTTTCCTAATAGTGCATGGATATTGTAGGGAGAAGTTACTTGTTAATCATTTCTAGGAGTTAAAGGGTTAGCATACCATACAAGCTTTGCTTGGAACTGTATAATTTTGTGTTAATAGTTTTGTCTTGAGCCGTATTTATATTCAGGGCATGAAATTGCACCTAATACAGGCGCCAATGCGACTAAATTTTTCACTTTGACGACCAAATCCTAAAAATTAGTTGCCAAATTGGTGACTAGAATATTTCATCATAACCTTACTTAGAGATATGTTGAATTAAAAAGATTTGCAAAAGATAAATCCGCGGCAAACTTCCTCATTAAGTCTCAATCAATGACTAGACGCCACCTTGGATTTAGGATGTAGGTGAGCTTGAAGGTTGTATATCTTCCATCCTAGTGTCCACTCTGTAGCAGGTTAAAGATCTTTTTCCTAACTTAATTTTGAAGGGCCTATCTAGAGCCCTGACAGTGTAAAAAATGGTTTTGTTTGTCTTTGAAAATGGCGACCAACTTTTTTTGAATTGGCTACCACTTTGAAGAATTTAGGAGCCAAGAGGCTATCAAAAAAAAAAAATTAATTTTACGCCCTGATATTGCTAACTCAGTGTACCACTATGAATAAATGGGGTGGGTTTCTAAAGAAACTGTGGTGCTGCGTCGGTGGGAGAGTATAGCAGGTAATTTAGTGTTAACAACTGAGTTGACAACATAAATTTGCCATCGTAAAGAGTAAAAAGCTGAAATTTTGAGTTATAGCCCTTCATCAGAGCAATCGGAGGAATTGTGAGTTGTGTGTGGGTTTATATCCAGAAAGTGGAGCTATGCTATTGGTTGGAATATGGTGATGAGAAAACAGGAATAAATAAATATTAGTCGAATGAAAAGTGCTTGTTGATACCGTGGGGATTAAGAGTGCCAATCTGGAAGATAAATATTTTGTCCTACTGTTTTGCAGCTTTCTGAACTGCCTAGATATAAGGAAAGGCCACAAACTGCCATATGTTGTCAAGATTAGTGTGCTGTGAGATGTTGGTCAATAAAACCTTAAGTTTAGTAGGTAGGTCATCTTTAAAATACATAAAGAACTAAAAAATATATAATTTTATTCAGCAATAGGAAAAGCCATTGTAGTGGGCTATATCACTAGTAAATCTTTCTTTTAAAAATAGAGGAGAAAAAGTTAACAATAACTGATCAGGTACTTATAGTGACAATTGTAGTTAATTATTTACATGGCTGTTAATGAAAATCAACTCAACGCACAATAGAAACAATACCTGGCTTTACGTCCTTAAGAAACTCTTGCAAGTTACTCTTTCTATCCTGGAAAGGTTCGATGAGTTCTTTTAAGACCTTCTTTTCCAGAAGAGGTCCCTCGCTAAGACCAATGGTGATTCTCTGTTCGCAAAGCAAAGAACCAACAGCCAGAAGCAACCTGTGACCAGAATGCATGTGATCAAACGTTCCACCGAGGACCACTTGTTTGTAAGTCTGTAGACATGTATCATTCAGATCATTACCGAGCTGCTTTTGTACTTCCCCCTCGCTAATAAGCTCATCTCCAAGTTTCAAATACTTGAGCTTTCCGTCGAGATCGGAGAACTGAAAACGTTTCGTCAACCATTTCTTGAACTTCAAAAGACCAACTTTCGATTGATCGTTTTCAAACACATCGCGAACGAAAGCAACCTCGGGCGACTTGACGAGATTTCTTACTTCTTCAGTACAACCATCATTAGCGGTCAAAGTTCGAGGTAGTAAAACTCGGACATCCAGCTCCCCGATTTTGGAAGAGCCGGTTCCATAAACATGAACCAACAGCTCGTACAAACTGCGAACGCGTTGGACAACAAAATCAGGTTCGTAGATATCTACATAAAGAACTCCGTTAACTTCTTGCGAAACTTGGGTCAAAAGAGCGGGCAATTTACGCCTGAGGCACGAAGGTGAAAGAACTAGAAGCCCGTAACGAAACATAGACTTAACACAATTGACTACCGGATTACGCAGTGAAAGGGTGGTTGACGCAATCGACTCATTCTTCTACTATGTAAGAGAACTGGATCTAGCTCGGCAACAACGAACATTTCACGAAGTCCATACGAACATTCCCGGAAATCGACTTTCACGAAAATAAAACTCACGTTGAATACATCGTCGAACTATTTAGGTTATCTAACAAACAGCTCGTTTTCAGCCTCATGAAAAACTTTTGAGATTTGGCATGGGACGTAAAGTGACTCTTGCAGCTTGTAGCTTAAATCAATGGGCCCTAGATTTCGAGGGAAACTTGAAAAGAATTCTTCAGAGCATCAACATTGCTCGCGCACATGGAGCGACTTACAGACTCGGTCCTGAGTTGGAAATTCCCGGCTACGGTTGCAATGACCATTTCCTGGAAAGCGACACGTTACTGCATTCTTTTCAAGTCCTGGCGTTGTTGTTGAAATCTCCCGTGACGAAAGACATTATATGCGACGTCGGAATGCCCGTTATGCACCGAAATGTACGGTACAACTGTAGAGTTATCTTCCTCAATGGAAAGATCCTCTTGATTCGACCAAAGATGACTTTGGCTTGTGATGCGAATTACAGAGAAGGAAGATGGTTTACAAGATGGGCGAAGGTAAGACGATCTCTCATGTGTTCCGGGGTCTGGAGGGAGGGGGGTTGCAGAGGCGAAGAGGAACTCTGTCATTGAATTGGCATCCGTCACCCCAGCTTAATTATAAAATCATTTTTCGAGTTGTGCTGGGGATATCCCAGCAGTCTGTGGGTTTTACTGTCTATTTTAAACAAGTATTGGCCTTTTTTTTTTTTAACTTTGGAGGTAGAGAATAATAGTGAATGCTTGATGGGAGTCAGAGATTGATATGACTTTTAAATCAGTTTTTTTCTCTCCTCAAATCAGACAAGGCAAACTGAAGAGTACTTCCTGCCTCGCATGATATCTGAAATTACTGGTCAAGTAACAGTTCCTTTTGGAGATGGTGTGATCTCAACATTGGATACTTGTGTTGGCACAGAAATCTGTGAGGAACTTTTCAGTGTAAACTGTCCTCACATAGCTATGGCTCTTGATGGAGTGGAGATTTTTACAAATGCCAGTGCAAGTCATCATCAACTTAGGAAGTTAAACAAGAGAGTTGAATATGTGAAGGATGCCACTGCCAAGGTATACATTTGTGTTATTTCTGAATTGCTGATATACTTTTTTCTGCCTACAAAGAAGTAGTATTTGGCACAAGGCATTTTGAGCTGTACTTAATATATTTTATGGTAAGGTAGTCCTGTGGGAGATTCAAGCGTGGGGATTGGTTCTTACTTAGTCCATATTTTGCCATACAGACTGTTTCTATGGATGGCTGTTATCAACCCTTTAAACAACTGGGTCCTGGACTGTGTTGTGTTACAATATATTAGTCACAGTGCATTTGTGCAGTTGCAGTTTGTAGAGTTGATTAGGAGAGGGGGAACAAAAGAGCTTGGCTTTAGCCTTCACAATCATGCGACTTTTTCGGATGCCACATGCTGATTATATGCTTTTCTGTTAACCCTTTAACTCCCAGGATCTCATTAGTAATTCTCCTCCTTGTCTGCTAATACAGTTCTTGTCCTGTTGGTTTGGAGAATTTGGTATTGGATCAACTTATAATCCCCTAAGTGATATTTTTCTTTATTCTCATCACTCATCTGGTTGATATTGTATTAATAATGTAAGGAGAAATTCTCTCTTGGTCACTTATGGCAGTTAAAGGGTTAAAAGACAGACAAGCCCTAAGAATTTTCTTTCATTCTTTTAGGGTGGTGGCATTTATGTCTATGCCAATATGCGAGGCTGTGATGGAGAAAGAGTTTACTATGACGGCTGCTCCATGGTGGCAGTTAATGGAAAAATAGTTGCACAAGGTTTGCAATTTTCCATGCAAGAGGTTGAAGTTGTAACCTCCACAGTCGATTTGGAAGAAGTGCGTTCCCATCGTGGTGCAAAGCCAACATTTGGTTCAAATGCAATGGATCTCACCCAGAGCTATCCCAGAATCAAGGTGGACTTTGCATTGAGCCGTGAAGATGATATTTCGGTTGCTCCTGCTGAACCCATAGATGTCCGTTATCACACGCCAGAGGAGGAAATAAGCCTGGGGCCGGCATGCTGGCTGTGGGACTACCTCAGGAGAAGTGGCCAGGCTGGCTTTTTTCTACCTTTGAGTGGAGGTGTGAAATTAATTCATTTTACCTTTTTTTTCATACAGACTACCACAGATCTCTTCATGAGTAAGAAAGGAGATGTGGTAAAATAGGCAGTGGGCTGTCATCATAGTAAATAACACTTTCAAAAGAAAAATATTATCATTTGTCTTATGATGTGGTCATATTGGATGTGGACAGTGGTGTTTCGACTGCATACTGCAATTGTTCTTCAGGCAATAAGGTTGATTGAGTACCTGTTGCCCATATGCTGTTGTGCTTAGCTGTTGTGCTCGGCTGGTGTCATTTAGAAATAACATCCACCGGCTGATATACTTTTATTTTCTTATAATCTGTTTAATTAATATAGCATTTTGGAATCACAGGGAGATTCAAGTTACATGTTCATCACTTAGAACTAAGAATTAACCCTTTACACCTGAACATCAATATCCATATTCTTCACAGTGCTCTCTATACATTTTTTGTAGTACTGACAAGGAGAATTTGTTTGAAAATCAAAAGCTGTTTCAGTTGCTGTTCATTTCCCTTATTCTTGTGACCTTCAAGTTTGATTCAGCAGTGTTACTCTACAGTGAAAAAGTATGTCAGTCACTTGTATGAATTCGATAAGTCAGTCACATATTTCAGGGAAATTGAATCCTGAGTTGAAAATTTTTGGATTACTTGAAAGGTTATGCAATGCTTATCAGCATTTTTAATTTGTCAATTTCCAAAAAATTTGAACAGTTTTTCTTTATTTATGCAATTTGGCTTCTAGTGTAGTGCAGTTTTATTTGATCTGTTATAATTTAAGAAAAAATGAGTGGAAGAGCTGAGAGGGTCATTTCCTCTGCTGGAAGTTCTTCTAAATGGAACAATTACATTTTGTGATTTCATTAAGGACTTTTGTAATACTTATTTATCTATTTGTATTAGTGTTTAGATAAAATTCATGGTTTTCTTCTCAAATTAATTGTAGGCATTGACAGTTCATCAACAGCCTGCATTGTAAGCTCCATGTGTCATCAGGTGTGTCAAGCTGTCAAAAGTGGAGATCAACAGGTGTTGGAAGATGCTCGTAGGATTGTGAATGACAAGTGAGTTATTAAATTAGAAATTGCAGTGAAGTTATTCACTTCAGATCTAGTGATTTTTACATACCTTACCATTACATGGGTGAGTCAGCTTTCATAGCCTTTTCTGAATTTTGGATTCAGTGGTTAGGAAGGTGTATGAAATAACAAAAATTGTTATTTATCTAGACTTTCACTCAACAAAATCAGCACTGTGATTGGTTGATTTTTGGTCATGTGCCCCTGATCAAATTCAAATGTATCCTGACTAGGCTACAATTGCACAGTTGTTGCCTGGGTGCCAAATACATCAGCATGCTTTTGCCATATGATTGTTGAAGGAAAAGTCTAAATATATAACAAAGCACTTAATGCATGGTTCCTTGGGAAACTAGTTAGTTTTGTTTTCCCTAGTCGAGGGAAACATCAGGACATTCGGGAAAACAAAACTAACTGTTTCCATCGGGGCCACACATTAAGAGTATAATGTTGCTTTTTGTCAAATATTCCTGGCAGCTGTTTTCTTGGATGTTGCTCAGGTCTCTATGACAGATGGAAGACAGACTAATGTGTGAATGTTTATCCAATTCAGTTTTGAGGTCAAAGGATGATTGAATGGACAAAAAGAACTGCCATGCATAGATTGTGTCATTTTGTACGTTCTTTCATCTGTGCATTATGTTTTTTCACGAATAGTTTTGTGAGCGAGGCTAACTTTTGTTGCGCTTGATTTCTTTGCCAGCAATTACATTCCTACCAATCCCAAGGAGTTTGCAGGCCGTATCTTTGTTACTTGTTACATGGGAACTGAAAATTCTTCCGAAGAAACAAGGAAAAGAGCAAGTAATCTGGCTGAGGAGATAGGCAGTCATCATATGGGTGAGGGAACCATTTCCTATGTGTTTTCCATCAAGAAATAATACTCCTTATCAGCAAGAGTATTTTTTAACTAAGTGTCAAAGTTATCCAAGTGACCAATCACAACAAAGGTTAACATTATCATTAGCCAATGAGAGTTCAAAGCGCAAACTGTTTGAAGCGTGAGAAAACGCAAAAGGGCAAGCGGCAGAGGTTTTTAGTTTTGCATCTGACTGGTTAAGAGGATGGTGTGAATGCTCTGGACCAATCGCAAGGCAAAGTTTATTAAAACCAGTGCAATTCCGGATTACTTTCGACGCTCAATTAAAAAATTTCTCTTTGATCATATTCCTTTTAATTCACACGAACTGCGGGTGATTCTCTCGCCAGCTTACGCCAGTGTAGTCACTTCTCTCACACTGCCAAGAATTCCAGTTTTACGGTAGCCTTACACCTTTCGATATGATGGATTCTCTACGAAAATGCTGACACTCTGGCGCCAAAATTTAACGCCTTTGACGCCAAAAAATTATCAGGTTTGAAAGCCTGACTGAATTTGGCCGAGGTGACAATGTGTAACTTAACTGTCTTATTATTATTATTATTATTATTATTATTATTATTATTATTACTGTTTTTTTCATTTTCGCTCAGGGATCACAATCGATGCTGCTGTGAGTGCCGTTCTCGGGATTTTTACAGCAGTCTCGGGTAAAATCCCGAAATTCAAGTTACATGGCGGGACTCACCGCGAGAATCTGGCTTTACAGAACGTACAGGCTCGTCTGCGCATGGTGTTAGCGTACTTATTTGCGCAGCTGATCATGTGGGCGCGCGGGCTCCCAGGTGGACTGCTAGTCTTGGGATCAGCAAACGTGGATGAAAGGTACACATATTCCTAGAGAGTTTGAGATTTTTTCAAGAAGGTTTTTACATGGTTTACTCTTCACAGTCACTTGAAAACTGTTCCTGGTGACAGACTTTGTTGTATCACCATACGCAAGCGAGAAGCTGTCGTGAAAAGTAATGTATGCAGGGCGGGAAGTTGCGCCTAATACAGGCGCCAATGCGCCTAAATTTTTCACCTTGGCGACCAAATCCTGAAAGTTAGTCGCCAAATTGACGACTAGAACGTTTCATCATAACCTTACCAAGAGATACAGTGAATTAAAAAGATTTGCAAAGATAAATCCGCGGCAAACTTCCTCGTTAAGTTTGTTTCCAAAACGTAGCACATGCATCTCGATCGATAACTAGACGCCATCTTGGATTTAGATGAGCCTGAACGTTGTATATCATCCATCCTAGTGTCCACTTTGTAGCACGTTAAAGATCTTTTCCCTAACTTAATTTTGGAGGGTCTATCTAGAACGCTGACAGCGTAAAGAAAGATTTTGTTTGTCTTTAAAAATGGCGACCAACTTTTTTTGAATTGGCTACCACTTTGAAGAATTTAGGAGCCAAGTGGCTATCAGAAAAAAAAGTTAATTTCACGCCCTGGTATGGATTGTGTGCTTTTTGCAAACCGTCTCACAGGAATGACCAAAAGCTAATCTTTCCCCTTTAATATTACTGCATTATCAATCAGATGGGGTGATGAGAAGAAATATAGATAGCAATCAAAGGATGTTTTTTTTCGATTTCACATAAAATTCAAAGCAAGGAAATTGTAAGAAATGTGTGGCAGAGCCAGACAGTGCTGAGAATCGATATGTAGATCTTTGGGGTGAAATGGTTAAATCTATTGATTTACTTTTCAGTTTGTGCGGCTACCTGACCAAGTACGACTGTTCTAGTGCAGACATTAACCCGATCGGTGGAATAAGCAAAAAGGATCTAAAATCGTTCATTTTCTACTGCGTAGAAAAGTTTAACTTCAGCTCGTTGATACGAATCCTTGGTGCACCACCCACAGCAGAGCTTGAGCCGTTAGCAGACGGCCAGATACAACAGACAGATGAGGTACGTGCTCTTCATACTCCGTTCTCTTTTCTTTGTTTACGATTCTAGAATTTTACGTAACTTACGAGAGTTTTCCCCATCACTGGTCTGTGCGACAGGTGTTTAGACAATCATATGAAACTTCGTCCCCAGGGTACTCTCTCTTTCTTTAGAGAGAGGACCCTGGGATCGAAGTTGAATAAGGTACGAGTTGAAACTGCTTGTTGATTCAGAGACGTGCAAGGGAGGAGATTATTTCATAGTGATTACGTCGTATTATTCTTGCCTTAGTTTTTGGCAACATTTATCCTTGGCTGCCCCCTATCACGAAGTCGTCCCCTCTCATCGCTTAAAAATATACCACATTTCCATTTTGACGCCAAGGCTTCACAATTAAATTCCAAATTTTCTCAGAAGGGAGCAGATTGTTTTAACGCATGAAAGTAGTTAAAGGGTTTGGTGGTCGTTTCTCGAAGGTTCCGGCAACTTCACAGGCCCGTAAAGCTGTTTTTTTCTTTTTTACCTCAAGACGAGAGTTTGAAAAGATTTTATAAATTCTGCTCTTAAAATATCAGTAAAAGAAACAATGGGGTTTTAAAAGTGCCAGAACCTGTTTCTCTAATCTTAAAATTTTGATTTAAAAACGTTGCTTCGGGCCCGTTAAATTATTGAGTTTATCGAGAAACGGGGCTTGGTTCCCAAAAGTCTTCGATCGTTTAGGGGCAGAGCATCGGGACAGGTGCTCGAAGGGTCGTAGGTTCGAATTTTTCTTTTCTCAGTCTGCCTCGTTTACATTGGACCAAAGGCAAAATTAACTTTAAATTTCCTCTGCAGGAGGATATGGGTATGACTTACGACGAACTCTCAATGTTCGGTTGCTTAAGGAAGGTAACTCGTTGTGGACCATACAGCATGTTCTGCAAACTAATCCACACCTGGCGAGGAACTTATACTCCTGCCAAAGTGGCTGAGAAAATTAAACGTTTCTTCCGCGCATACTCAATCAACCGGCACAAAATGACAACCCTGACACCCGCCTACCACGCAGAAAACTACTCTCCGGACGACAATCGATTCGATCTCCGACCGTTCTTGTACAACACTCATTGGTCGTGGCAAATGCGATTGATTGACGAGGAAGTTCGACGACTCCAAGTGGCCGAGGCGTCGTTGTTACGTCACCAGGAGCCTCGCCTTCATGTCAACAGTGACACTTTGTATGGAGGCTCTCATGATCCACACGCGGGCAACAATGAGGGCATGACGTCATCACCGGTAAAAAGTGAGAGAACTGGAAATCAATTTGGCACCGAGGAGCATCAAACGAGACGTGAGAGACTGGAGCGGACTTTGGAAACGCTGACAAGTTTTAATCGAGGAACCACAAGGACACAGAACAGGGGAACTCCTCCGTGCCCTGCGCTGATCCGCATCAAGTCTGAGCCTGTGGATCACGAGGAAGGTCGTGCGACCCACGGTGCTGTGGACGACCCGGACATCAGACCGCGGAAGAGAAGCGAAGCCAACATGGCGGGAAGCTCTGATGGGGAGTTTGTCAGTGGAGAGAAGTACATGCGGATAACGTCACCTTAGCTGTCGATTCAGTGATTTTTCTTTTATCGCTGAAGGCTGAAATACCTTCGATTGGAGTTGGCGTCCTGTAGGTACACCCCAGTAGACGGACTTTGAAGTGTGTCTGAGCTTAGCTCCTGTCGGAGTGATCTCGAGTGCGTGTACTGTTTTTAGATTGGGTGACAATAGTCGGAACTATGTGCGAATTCCTCACCGATGACCTGCCGATGTGGCCGGTTATAGGTCCTCTGGAGTACTGACAGTTGTACAATCACCTGTTGAATTGTTGAATTGGATTCATGGTGTCAATGCAATTGATTTTTGACGTCATCCAATACTTTTCCAACCTCGTTTCCAGGAGTAACTTTGGAGACGAGGCTGAGCAAGCACATAGAGAGAGAGAGAGAGAGAGGCCCTTGAATTGTCAAAGTCTGAATCTTAACTCTCCTTTCTGGTTGCTTTCCAGATGCTTGCAAATTATTCCAAGGAATTTGGTGTGACGTCAACCTAACACTCTCCTGTTATCGTGTTTTTGACCCTCTACACCCTAACATTGATATGTTTATTCTCCGCTTCACATGGTACTGACAGGGAGAATTTGTTTAGGAATCTAGAGCTGCATGAGTTGATTTAGGGGTGATATGGTATGGAGAAACAAGATGATGATCACTGTAAGCACAAAGGGTTAATCGCTCGATTGCAGTATACTGCACTGTTCTAGTCGGGTGAAGTTGCTGGTAAATCATTCCAGGATTTAAGAGGTCAGGGTCTTGTTGTTCAAAGCTTGGTTAAGGGCCTTTCCGCACTTGGCGTTTTAAAATTTTAGAATCCCCGAGTTTTGCATAAAAAAGATAATTTTTTTCCTTTCTCGTAAACTGACTTCTGTTCAATTACACGCTGGTCGTAGCTTATACGACAAATGATCGACAGGGTTATCACGGTTTATTTCTTTAGTCGATTTTTTCCAGTTTTCAACTGGGACAATTTTGTCAAAGTGCGTTGGAAGATATGTCCGCTTTGGCCAAAATTTTTCAAGTCGCGACAAACCATTCGCACTTGTAAAATGTTAGTGATGACAGAAAATTTGTCTAAATAGACAACTTTTTCGCTAGTGCTGTAAGGCTCTTAAAATACCTTAGAGTTAATGAGAAATCTGGTTGAAGATCTGAAGGCTTTAAAACAAAATTTAGGACAAATATTTTTGTCTACAATTTGATGACTGGATGCCTTTCAAAGAAGAGAGAAAATTATCCTGGAAAGGCTTTTGAACAGAGGGATGAAGAAACTCAGATTAAAATTTAACCCCGGGTTAGCGCTAAGCAGCCTTCGAACAGCTGAGCCCAGTGAGATATACTGCGTTCGAAATGCACTTTACGAACTATTGAATTTTCTTGAAAATTTTTAGTGATAGTATCAAGAACAATTTGTATTCAGAATTTTGATGAATTGATATAATTACGTCACCAGGTTATTTGGACACGCGCAAAATGAGTGTGGTGAAAAAAAAAATGGAAAGTAATGTTGTTATACAATCCTTTATTATATTTAATATTTTGGAGAAAGTGATATTATCGCAATTCCAATTGGAAGAGAAAAAATTGTAGACCAATTTCTAGTAGTTAGCACATATCTTGAAGTTGTTTTAGATGAATGCGTGAATGTGAAATGTAGTTTTGTTCTGCGTCGCCCTTTTTGTCCTTCGTATTCTGTCTCCCCCTTTTTTACGATTTAAAATGATTACCGTATTTTTTTCCCCGAATAAGCGCGCGCCCTGTAAGCCATACTATTAAACAAGGCCCCCCCCCCCTCGAATTAGTACCTCACCTCTCCCTCGCTTTCCAAAGTAGTACGGATACAAGGAAACCTGTTTCTATCGCCAACTATTTTTAAACTTGTTAAGCTTCAATGACAGCTTATTCAGTACGGGATAATGATGAGGGACCCCTCGATCAAGCGCCCTGCTTCCGATGAGCGCCTCTTCTTTTAGTCGTAGTTTTAAATCAGCGCCCGGGCGCTTTTTCGAGGAAATATAGTATCTAGAGTGGTAAGCTGCTGTGTTCAAATATATTACCTTCTAGGGCGTGTGAAATTGATGTAATTTTAAAGCAATTTTTTGCGAGTTGTTGAATGTAGATACCGCTTTTTAAAGCAATAGAATTTTAAGTGTGCGGCCGAGAACATTTTGCTTATTTGTACATGCAACGAGAAGACCTTAGTAGAGACAATTTACAGTTTTAGACATTTGCTGTATAACTACGGTAGAATTGGATGCAAACTTGACTGAAGTAACCATGGCGGCCTTGTGTGTCCTGTTCGTGCCCCCTTCCTGTTGCTTAACTTGATTATTGAATTCTTTAAAAAAAAAAAAGAAGTAAGAGCTGCTCTTTTTCTTGATAATTTTAAGCGGCTCTCAATTGTATGTAAAGAGTTATTGTCAAATACTCTGGAGTGAGATAAAATACATCTTATTAGACGTCATGGTATCGCTGAGTATTTTTACGGGTTGTGCCCGGTATTTTGACGAGCCCGTGGAGCAATTCAAAACGCAAACAACTAATAAAAATACTCAGCGATACTACACACCAAAACGTCCAATAAGTTATTTATTATCCAACTGCTTTTTTTCTGCTAAGTCTGCTCATTTCTCATATGGCGGAAAAAGCAAAGGGAATAAAGAAGCGTTGCGCGCGCAGCTGACTGGTTAAACAGGTTTTATAACAGAACAAAATAACCAATTGTCCAAAACCGTTTAATATCACAGGATATTTGTTCTCTATTCGCGTGTTATTTGTACTCTGCCTGGTGCAGTTGGAGGATAAATCTTGATATGTTAAACGAATGCTAATTACAAATTATGGGGTCACCTTTCCTTTTTTTTTTTTTTTTTTAATTTTTTTTCCTTTTTTTCGACCGGCACAAAACTTGAAAATCAAAAAGAAGGGTGTATTTGAAAGGTTGTTGTGTTGCTATGGTATAACGGTATAATCTAGCCGAAAGAAACTGAAAATACCCAAAACATCTATCTCGTAAAATTAACTAATTTCATTATTAGTATACAGTAAAATCTGTATGGAGCAGCACGGTATTATCGGTCGGTTATCTTCCGGAATTAATGTTAATGCTTTCAGTTCTTACTTTTTCAACGCTTGGCTGATTATCTTCGCCCCTAAGACTGTTAGGGCAAATGTTACTCACAAGAGAAAATCAAGCAAGTCATTCGCTGGTCAACCTGTATTAGACGGCCAACCTGTATTTAGTGGATACCCCGCCATTCCCTATGGGTTACCACTTAATACAGGTTCGACTGTTTTTTAATTTGTTAAGTAACCTTTACAAGAAAGCAACCCCTGAAAAACACAGTCGGCTGTCGAAAACGTGAAAAGGTTGAAATACGCCTTTTAATTATGTCTCTGTTTAATCACTTGATTGTACGATTCCAATATAACGCTTGGTCAACTTTCACTCACAGCTACAAGCTTGTTAAGAAAAGCACAGAAGATAAAACCGAGGGACTTGCAAGTACAAAGAACAAGACCCTCAAGAGGCATAAAACACATGCTGCATATATATATATATATTGCATACTGGTGTTTTAACCAAAAATCGAAATAACGTAGAAAAGTCGACCAATTTAGACTAACTGACATATAGTACAGTTTCCAACGCCACTACAAACTTTACTTAACCCCTCCCCCTGTTACAAAATTACTTAACCCCTTCCCCTAAAACAAACTATACTTAATCACTCCTCCCCTCTACAAACTTTACTGAACCCCTCCCACCTACTACAAACTTTACTTGACCCCTTCCCCCCCTACCGACGTAAACTTTTTTCACCACTGATATAAACGCACGGTTAACCTTACTATCTTCAAATCTCTTCTAAAACTTTTGACTGAAGACAAGCTTCCACAGGTAACGACAACAGCTCTTTATAGCCTCTCTTAATAGCTGACCTTTGCCGATAGCAACAAAGAGTGATTCGTTATTTGCTTTTAAGAAGCATGCATGAAGGTAACGGAAGCTTGCAAACAAATCTTCTTTTAGAAGTACAACATTATTTTATCGCTCAGTAGGATAAATCTTAAAAATTCCAAAGTCGATCCAGAGTGTAACACGAAACTGCTTTAGTAACTAGATTTTATTGCTCGGTAGAATATTAAGAACGTTCCAGAGCGTTACTTGAAGAATGCTCCAGCAACCGAATTACATCACTAACCTTTCTAAGAATGTTTATCTTCATAACAGTGGTAATCTTGGATGTCACAAAAGATATCAATAAGACCTGATTGTCTGGGTTGTGATGTGGTGTAGATTAGCGAGGTGCACCCTAATGTCTAAGATATATTAATTTCCTTTCTCCGTATGAGTTTCTAACAAATGCCGCATTTTGCTATGAGTCCGGCATTGAGTCAAGTGAACACGGTAACCGCCAGAGTCGTAAGAAGATTCCCTGTTGTTTCAGTCAGCTTTCATGCCTGCAAGAAGCACACACTTCGAATGGCTGAGGCATCAACACAAGCCCTGCTATAGGCACCAGGGTGGGAAGATCACAGCCAGGCGGATTCTCAAATCGGAATCTGTGAAGTAATCGAGCCAAGATCAAGAACAGCTCAATTCGTGCCAAAGATTCTCCTAGACATGCCCGTCGCCCTGCTGAAAATGGGAGGAAGCGATCCTGTTTTGGAGGAACGAACTTACCATCCTTGTCGAGGAACCGCTCGGGTATGAACTTGTCGGGGTCATCCCAGATGGCTGGGTCGTGATGAAGGGACCACAAATTCACTAATACTGTTGTACCCTTCGGAATATGATATCCTTGTAGAGTCGTATCCACTGTTGCTTTATGAGGAATTGCCAACGGCCCAATAGACGAGAGACGTAGAGTCTCAGCGATGGTGGCCTCCAGATACGGTAGATTCTTTTTGTCTCGGAGCTCCGGTAAACGATCCGGGCCAATGACCTCATCCAGCTCTTGATGTAACATCTCCTGGATCTTAGGGTTGTAAATAAGGTACAGCAGCGCCCAGCACAAGCTAGTTGCAGTGGTCTCCATTCCAGCAATAAAGACTTCCCCCATGGTCGAGACAAGTTTGTCGTCGGTAAAGGATCCACTCACAGACGAGTCTTCTTCCTCAGCCTCTTTCCTTGCCTTCAAGAGCGCATCCGTCAGGTCTTGAGGAGCTGCAACTCTATTCGCCTCCACATGCTCTCGATAAATTCTTCCAACCAGCTCGTCTCGCTCTTTGCATTTCTCTTTCAAAAGCTGAATAGATTTGAATGGATAAAATCTAAGCCAAGGGAAAACATCCACTATGCTTCCAGCCGCAAGCATACTCACTATCGAGTTGGTGATATCTGAAAACTTTAAAAACTCGGGGTTATCGGGTTCGTATCTTGAGCCAAACACCAAGGCACATATCACATTTGTCACAGCAAGTCTTATCTCTCTGGTGATATCATGGGGCTGCCCATTTCTGGAGCGGACACGTTCCATAAGCAAGTCAAACTCATTGGTGACGATGGCCTCCTGCTTTATCCCGCCTGCACCGTACAATTTCAATGCCGAGAGGGCTAGTTTGCGATGCAGTCGCCATTCTGAAGAATAATCAGCGAACCCGATTGCCCTTCCTTTAGAATAAACTTCCGAGGAGTGAATGCTCGGACGTCCAGCAAAGTTGGACGATCTTGTAACGAGAACTTCTTGAATAGCATCTCCTCCACCAACAACTACAACGAGCTGGCTTCCAAGATACAGGCGGAATACTTTGCCGTATTGTTTTTCCAATTGCATAAGGTCAACATGGCGTGAGTTGGCAGCCAGTTTGTGCGCATTTCCAATAATCGGTAGTGGAAATGGACCTGGAGGAAGATGTTTGGTGGCAATGAAACAATTCACTGTCACTGAAACGAGAATTACCACTAAAACAAACCAAAGCAGTTCTTCAATCATGATGAATCTCGGGGCAAAGTGCTAATTTTAGCACAAGCAGAAATACCGATGGATGACCGCCTGTCGCCAGCTATTTGATACGGATATTTGGGTTGGTTACCACGCGGAAAGTCTCAAATATTTCGATTTTGGAACCGTAATTCCGTTTTAGTGACGGTTAGGGAAGAAGAGTCACTTATCCTTTTATATCTATGATTCTAGGGCGTTTGGCTCCTGAATCTTCTCTAAAGAGGCGAAGGAGGGGGGGAGGGGAGGTAGGGGAAGTATCAACCAAGATTTATAATTGAAATTAAATCGGTCGGTGAACGGAAAATACAAAAGGAAATTTCATCGCTCTTTAGGCAGCTTAATTGATTAATGGTTTAGGCCTAAGTATATCAGTAACAAAATTTAAGCAAATCATTAGAGCTTTAAATTTCTAGAATTCCAAAGAGGCAAACTGATACAAAGAATGACGCAATATCCTAGTCAAGTCTTGCTTTGATTTTGGACAGCTTTTCAAGCCTTTTGTACCGGACCAAGACGGTGTGTTTGCCTTTTTAAGGCAAGCCATCTGTCACTGACTGCGTTCTAGATCCTCTATTGCGACATCTTGTTATGAAGCTGAAATTCTCAAAACGTTCGTGTCCCTGGCTCTTGAAATACACAGCTTTATTTAATTATTTCAACTCATTGACAATCGTTGTCTCCCTTGGAGTTCTGACGCAACCGTTCAAATATATTTTTGGAAAGAATAATACTGGGATGTATATCGAACACCTCCTGTAAAACGTTCAGGGAACCTGGCAATACACTCTAAGCTTCTTTTTAACCTTAACCTATTATGGAAAGTAAAGTAATTTTATTTCTGCCCCAAAATTGAAATCAATATCTCAAAATAATGATTTCCAAGGCTACACAATGAATAAATCACAACCCCTTTGTTTTCATTTTCACCTCTAACCTATGATCAGATTTTTGATTGTGTAAACTGATTTAAGGGTAGAGTAGACGACCCTCAAAAGATGGTAAAACGGTTGCTTTACTGCAGTTATGTTGAGGATACTTGGATAATGCCCTTTGCATCTTGAGACCTTTCTTATGAGAGGCTGCGTGACCTTGCATTCCGCGGTTCATGCGATGCGTGGCTGAATTAATTCGTTTCTTAAAGAACAAGCAGTGTAAAAATTAGTCTACAAAGAGCTTCTACTTAATGAGTGTGGTAGGATTGTCTGTAGGTTGATATGTATAACATGAGGATGTCAACCATATGGTTGTCTCTTGAGTCTCCCCGAAGAGATTGTGACACGAATGCCCAATATCGATCATCATAAATTTTCATTTAGACAACTTGACAAAGAGGCAAACAACGGGTCAAAAGGTATTCCATTGTACGAAATATTAAATTTCAATTGCAAATTTCGCCATAGTTGAAAAATGTAACAAAACAAACTATAAATAGCACTTCGACCACAAATTCGCAACTGCTGCCATGCTTGAAGAGCTGATTTGGTTTGTTTTGGTGGCAATTCTCGTTGTCCTGTTCGTGAATCATTTCACTGCCTCTAGGAAACTGCCCCCAGGTCCTTTTCCACTACCGATTATTGGAAATGTACACAAACTTGCTGCTAAGTCACGCCATATTGACCTCATGCAATTGGAAAAACAATATGGCAACGTATTTCGCCTGTATCTTGGAAGCCAGCTCGTTATAGTTGTCAGTGGTGGAGATGCCCTTCAAGAAGTTCTTGTCCACAAATCGGCCGACTTCGCTGGACGTCCGAGTATCTTCACCGCAGATGTCTACTCAAAGGGATTGGCGATCGTTCTGGCGGATTATTCATCGGAATGGCGACTGCGTCGCAAAGTCACCGTCTCGGCACTTAAAATGTACAGTGCACGCGGAGGAAAGCCAGAGTCCATCATCACTAACGAGTTCGACTTTCTCTTGAAACGAGTCCGCGCCCGAAGCGGACAGCCTCACGATATCACCAGAGAGATACAACTGGCTGTGACAAATGTGATATGTGCCTTGGTGTTTGGCTCAAGATACGAACTAGATGACCCTGAGTTTACAAATTTCTTGGATATTATGCACGCCATAGAAAACACGATTGCTTCTGGAAGCATAGTGGATGTTTTCCCTTGGCTCAGATTTTATCCATTCAAATCCATTCAGCTTTTGAGAGAGAAATGCAAAGAGCGAGACGAGCTGGTTGGAAGAATTTATCGAGAGCATGTGGAGGCGAATAGAGTTGCAGCTCCTCAAGACCTGACAGATACGCTATTGAAGGCGAGGAAACAGGCTGAAGACGAACACTCATCTGTTACAGGATCCTTAACAGACGAGAGGCTCATCATGACTATGGGGGAAGTCTTCTTGGCCGGAATAGATACCACTGCAAGCACCCTGTGTTGGGCGCTGTTGTACCTTATTCACAACAATGAGATCCAGGAGAGGTTACACCAAGAGCTGGATAAAGTCATTGGCCCAGATCGTTTACCGAAACTGCAGGACAAGAAGAATCTACCGTATCTGGAGGCCACCATCGCTGAGACTCTACGTCTCTCGTCTCTGGCGCCCTTATCAGCTCCTCATAAAGCAACAGTGGATACGACTTTACAAGGATATCATATTCCGAAGGGTACAACAGTATTAGTTAACCTGTGGTCCCTTCACCACGATCCAGCAATCTGGGATAACCCCGACAAGTTTATGCCCGAGCGATTCCTCGACAAGGATGGTAAGTTCGTTCCTCCAAAACAGGATCGCTTCCTCCCATTTTCAGCAGGGCGTCGGTCATGCCTGGGGGAATCGTTGGCACGTATTGAACTATTCTTGATCTTGGCACAATTATTGCACAGCTTTAGATTTGAGAATCCGCCCGGCTACGATCTTCCCACCCTGAAGCCCAACACGGGAGCTTTGTTGACACCACAGCCATTTAAAGTGTGTGCTACCTTCAGACACGATGACTAAAAGATCATAAAGTTTGTCTGACTCCACTCTGAATTAAAGGACGTTTGTTATTCTTCTTACATCTCTAACTCTTAGAGCTTTCTTGTAGAATACAAATGAACAGTGCTTTATCTGGATTCACTTTTGCTATTGATGTATCGATTTTCAAGTTTACGGAAAAAAAAGTTTTCTCGTATGTCATTGTAAAAAGGGCGCTTAATGAAGGTTGTCTCCTTACAAAAAGAGCCAGAAAGTGATTAAATCCAATAAATCTTTTGTTGCGTTTGTCAATTGTTAAAGTTCCCCTTGACAAGTGTATTCGTAACCAGTCAACGTTCTTCGGTCTGCTAGGCACCCATTTTTTCTTGGCTTTTAAGACATGTACCTTTGCATTTCGAAATTACGGTGTTCCTCCTTAGATCATGGTAAAATCAGTTATCCAAAAAACCTGGCAATATGATAGGACAAGAGAATATTAACTGTGATATTCTCTTGGGTAAGAATACTGTACGTTTCGTTTCTTCCACAAAACAAATCTTTGTAACATCTGTGTAACGGAAGGATTTCGCAAAACCTTCATAATGATTCATAATGGTCTCTTATCGAAAACAAAAAACTTTTTGTCAACTTCTTTGCATCGATAGCAGGCACCGTCGCTTAAAGAGATCTGTATGAGACAGAAAGCGGTTAATTACAAGACGAGATCGTTTAATAAAGTAGTAGAAGTCTTTAAGGGAGAGTTGACTTGATTTATCGACGGCATAAACCAGAAATAATTCATTTTGCATGTTGCAGCCGACTACTTTCAGTTTAAGTTCAGTTGTGACATCAGCAGGTTATCCATTAGTCCAAGTACGTAAGATGCTTTGGATGCTTTAACATTCCCAAGATCTGATTGTCAATCCTCCCCTCCAGTTGCTACACATTTCCTCGTAAAGAGGTGACAAGAATTTGGTATTAGATCAAGATAGCAACTTCTCCCTGATAAATGTAAGTATTCTCATTACTTTTGAAGCAGGATGTAGGGTAAGCCAAGTATCACGCGTTTCTTTGCGAATAAGTCACTGGTTTCATTTGTATAAGCAAATTGATAAACGCACACCAAAGGCCCTTCAGTCTTTTCGTTAAATACTTATAACCTTGCTCCAAAAGGAGTACCTGAAAGACAGAGCTAATTGGTTTTTCTAAGAGAACTATTCAGCACATGCACAGTGAACATTACTTGTGGTAGATAAAGGGTATTCTCCGTATGTACTTTCGCATTTATTCACCTCATCACCACACTTAAGGGGCCGGTTATTTAAACAAAGTTCAGCCGCTGTTCCAAAAAACCGCGGCCTAGACAATCTTCGAGTAACTGAATCTTTTATTGGAACATTCATTTTTGAGAACAGTCTCAAGAGGGCCGTAAGCTAAAAGTGGAAGGATTATCATTTAATTTAATCAACCCTCTTCTGGAGAAAGACTGAGGCCCACTGACTGCGTAAAACCGTGTTTTGGGTTAGACCTCGTGGAAATAACGGGGCTATGGAGGTATGCGGCGTGTTCTCCGCTGTTTCTGCTCGTACACAAAGCTAGGGACAAAGTTTCAAAGCATCCTAAGTAGTTCAAATGAGTGCGAAATAAAGAATAACCAATACCACCTCTGACCATCATTTAATACCAAAATTTGGCGCGATGATTAAAATATTTAAAAACAATACAGAATCAGGAAATTGTTCAAGAGATTATCTCACGGTTCAAATAGTAAACGAAAACTAACGTATCTGCAGAGTTATTCATCAACTCTTGGTAATAGAACTGAAATTTTTTTAAAATAATGAAATTGATGTTACTAATGTCAGAAATGCAGTATTCGATTAATGTAAACATTGTAAACAGTGTAATAATTATAGGATTTCAATGTACGCAGCTCATTGAAGTAGTGTAACTTATGGAATGTGTTGTTAGGAAATGAGTGCGTGTAAATAACGTGTTGTAATAGAGTTTATGTATCGCAAGTAATATACGTCGTAAATAAAGATTTGTATTGGAAAAAAAGAATCGGTAAAATCAACAGCCATTAACTTTACTATATATATATATATGTACAGTGAAACCTTCCATATTTCGACAAGAGAACATAGACCGTTTGAAGTACTTTCTCTTGGCTTCATCATGAGTCAGGCATTCTTGAGATGAAAAGTTTCTCACTGAATGCAATGGAAATACATAGCTAATATACCACACAATGGTTTAACCCTGCTGTCAAATAGTTTGTCAACCTTTATACAAACAAGAAACACACGAACTATTTTTCTTTTCATGACTTGGAATGCGTGACATCTCTTCTTTTCAGAGCACAGACTTTAAACGGTTGTGGTTGCAGAACGATTCCTACGATGGGTTCAACGGATGGAAGATCAAATCCGGGCGGATTCTCAAACCTGAAGTTGTGCAACAAACGTGCAAAGACCAGAAAAAGCTCAATCCGTGCCAAAGGCTCTCCTAAGCAGGCACGGCGCCCCGCAGAAAAGGGCAGGAAACGGTCAAATGATGGTGCAGCGAAATTGCCATTTTCATCAAGAAATCTTTTAGGCCTGAAGCTGTATGGTTCATCCCAGATATCCGGATCGTGGTGAATGGACCATAGATTAGTTAAAACTGTGGTTCCCTTTGGAACACAGTATCCTTGCAGAGAGGTGTCTACTGTTGCCTTATGAGGAACTGACAAAGGTACAAGAGAGGAGATGCGCAGAGTTTCTGTAATGGTCGCCTCTACATACGGAAGATTCTTCTTGTCTCCTAGTTCTGGCAAACGATCCGGGCCAATGACGTGATCCAGCTCTTGATGCAGCATCTGCTGGACCTCAGGGTTGTGAATCAAGTGTATCAGTGCCCAACACAAGGTGCTTGCAGTGGTCTCCATTCCAGCAATAAAGATGTCGCTCATGGTCATAATTAGGTGTTCGTCAGAGAGGAATCCTTTGACAGCGGAGTCTTCGTCCTCAGCTTCCTTTCTTGCCTTCAATAACGAATCTGTCAGGTCTTGTGGATGTAACACTCTGTTCGCCCCCACATGTTCAACAAATTTCTTTCCTAGAAGCTCATCTCGTTCCTTGCATTTTTCCCTTAGATTCTGAAGAGACTTAAATGGGATCCAACCGAGCCAAGGAAAAACGTCCACAATGCTCCCAGCCGCGACCATCTTCGCCAAAGCATTGGTGATGTCTAAGAACTTTGTGAACTCCGGGTCGTCAAGTTCGAATCTCGAACCGAACACTACAGCACAAACCACATTCGTCACAGCCAGTCGTATCTCTCTTGTGATGTCATGTGGTTGACCATTTCTGGCATGGACCCTTTTTAACAGCAGATCAAACTCTTCATTGATTACGGATCCTTGGTTTATTCTGTTGTTGCTGTACATCTTGAGCGCAGAGACAGCAATCTTGCGATGCAGTCGCCATTCCGGAGAATAATCTGCCAGCGCGATTGCCTTTCCCTTTGAATAAACCTGTGAGGTGTAGAGATTCGGACGTCCAGCGAAATCGGCCGATTTTGTGACGAGAACTTCTTTCAGCGCTTCTCCACCGCTAACGATTACCACGAGCTGATTACCGAGATACAAACGAAATACTTTGCCGTATTGTTTTTCAAGTTTCATAAGGTCAATATGGCGTGAATCAGCGGCCAATTTGTGCGCATTACCAATGATCGGGAGCGGAAATGGTCCAGGTGGAAGATTTTTGTTGGCAGTAAAGTGATCCAAGATCAATTTAACAACGATTACTGCTAGAAAGACCCATGCCAGCTCTTCCAACATGGTTGCACTTGCGATTTAAGAGTGGTGTTGTTGAACATGGACTTGTAGAATAATTAAGCGGGTTTGTTGTATAATTACTTTTGTTTTGTTGGCATAGAGGTGTTTGGCCAATTATCACCAAACTTGACTCTTGGGACAACTTAAGGAAAGTTTACATCATACCAAATAATTGATGAGTTTGAATATTGCTTTGCTTCTGTCTAATTCTTTTTAATGTTCACGATCATTCACCACGTATCTATACATCCATATCAATATATCTGTAAATAAATATATTGAAATATAGAAATATGTAAAGAGACATATACAAGAGCACACACCATTTTTAAAGCTTGTCATTGTGTCAGCATTTGCATCTGACTGAAAAAGGTTTCACCATCGAATGCAATTAAAAAAAAACCTAAATTTTTTTTTCCAGATAACTTAGGGAAGCGTTGAATGATTACAATGTAAACAGAAAAACCGAATTCAATATATAACTGGTATAAGTTTTGATGGTATTCTATTCATATTCAAATTTTGGTGCCAAAATGCGTTCATTGTCGGCTACTAAAAAGAACATAACAAAGCGATAACACAATGCAACGTCCCTTGTTGTTTTGCCGCGAAAGCAGATACCAGTTCCCTATGCCAACCGTGGCAGGAGAAACGACTGGATCACTAATACATTTTTATTCTTCATTAGGTAGCAATGTTCTTCATCCAGGTTATGCTTTAATTTCAATTTAGCTTAGGATGGTTGAATGGAAGGCATGAAATTTTTTATACATTGCAAAGAAAAGATATTAAATTCATTTCTATTTTAAATTATTTCTGTCCTCTTAATAATTATTCTATCAATGATCTTGTCTATATCCTCATTTGATTTTCGAGAATTGCAGTATTAAATGGATGTTCGCATGGTACTTGTTGGGGAAACAAGGGGTCAGCTAGGATTGTTTTCTTTTATTAACCCCAAGTGGGACCACAAACCACAAACCCCAATTAATGAGCACAGCAGCTGTTCAAATAATTTTGCTTTGGATTAAACCTCTTTGCAATTATTACATCTACTAAAGTGGTCTACCAATAAATTTTCAAGCTCAAATAGCCCTTTCGATAGCATGCTGGTGCACGAACAAATTTTGCAGTTGCTCGCATGAATGGTTGGTTTCCTGTTTGCATGAAATTACGTTCGTGTAACTAGGGGTTTGAAGGTTTCACGCACAAAACTGTAGTTTTTCCTTGCGCCGAATTAGCCGTATATCCCAATTATTTTAAAAACGAAGACGAAATAACGAAAAACGGCGAGAAATTAAACAAGGATCATCGCCATAGAACATGGCCATTTAAAATTGTAAAAATCGTGCATGACAATCGTAATCACTGCAAATTAGAACAGAGTGCTCTAACACTCGCAAGGACCATTCTGTGCCCCTATTGCTCATTAAAATCTCTCAATGAAAATCCATAAATGTTGGTATGACTGCTATCAATTTTTATCAATTATAGATTTTATAGATTGGTCAGGTAGACGTGAATGTGAGAGAAAATGAATTGCTATTTACCATGTCGGTTACTACATTACAGAGATTACTAAGCAACTCGCACCGTTAATCTGTTTCTTTATTTCCATATTGAACAATGCCATTGCAACAAAAAAGAGTCAAATGGACGTTTTCCTCAGGTATCCAACACTAACTATCTCTGGGGAGATTTCATGCACTTTGCGCTAAAAATATTTTTAGGAATATCTTTCACAGGCATTTTCCAAATTCCTGTTAGTAGATCCACCCACAAAAGAATCCCTGGTTTTATTGAATTCAACGCAAGCGAACATCACAAAATTGGCTCCGATCCATTCCAGTCTACTACAGCATTTTTCCATCTGCAGAGAAAGTGGCAAATATAATTTCTTTGGTGAACCATATCGGATTCGCAATTTATTACAGACGTTGTAGGAATGGCTATGGTCCAAAGTCGATTGTTTGTCCTTTAGCACGAATTAAAGGTTAGCGATCAAAATATTACTGAAGAATTGGAAGGGCCTGGGACAGACTTCAGTTGCACTTGTCCACATAAAGGGTATAGGGTCGCCTATAGGAATATCCACTCCTGGTTAAGCTGGCATTCAGCAAAGACGTGAAAATGTTTTGTATTACATTCAGAAGGATAGGTTAAAAAAATCTTACTTGAAGTTTTTTTTTTTTTGGCAAGGCGTCATTTTGAAACGATCTAGGCCTTTAGGAAAATGATCGCAGAAGTCTGAGGTTTGAACAAGCTTTCTTCACCCTTGCATTTGTTCCGCGTGTTTTTCTTTGCAACGCTAAATTCTATCTGAGCACCTGGGCAGGCTTTCACAACAAAAAAATTCTCTCTTAAACCACTATGATTTACAAACCTTGTTCTAATGCAGTGTTCTAGTGGAGGGACAAGATCGGTGTCTTTGTAATCAGGACATTCCCTTGTTGTATCTAGTTAAAGCCAAATGAACAGAGTTAAGTATAAACATGAGTACTGTGCCAAATCTATTGTTAAAATGGCTTACATTTATAGTATAATAAATTGATTGATTGTGGGAACCACCGGTAAGAGTCAAACATCATTCACCAAGCAAATCTCAACAATATTTCACTCTGAAAATATTTCGAGTCCACAGACCTTCTCCTCGTAACTGCCAAAACAGTTTTCACATCACAGCGTAACTTAGCCAGTAATATTCTGAGAGGGCAACACTGCTATAACCAGCGCTGACGCCTTATGTATTCTCTGCTCTTTTTTTTATTGAGTGTATCAAGGTCGACAAAGTAATCCAGGATTGCTTTTGTTTACCGCTCTGTGATTGGTCAAGAAATAACGCTTCACGCCCATTTTTAACCAATCAGATGCCAGACAAAAACAAATCGCGCCCTCGTCACCCGTATTTCTCCGGCTACGCTTGAGGCACGAGTTTCATTACCTTGACGTTTCTGTAAGCTGATTTTACATATGACGACCTTACCTATTGTTAGTTTGATTTCCTCCTCTTGGCGGGCCAGACCGTCATAGTAATAAAGATCAAACTTCTTTTCTAACTTCCTACACAGCGAAAAAGAAAAATCATTAAAATTTGTTATTATCTAACTTGTATTACCAAGAAAGGCTTGGATTGTAGACAGTCTCTCGTTATTTTATCGGTTTTCCACCCAAACCTTCCAAGTTTTATCGAGGCACGCCATTTTCAATCATTTGTTAAGGGAATAGAAATTGAAACTCATGTAAAAACGCTACAGCAGAGCCCTACTTAGTTGAACTGTCAAGGCAAATGTAAAACTGAGGGTTATTTGGTATTATCAACTGAGTTTCGAGCGTTATCCATTCGCCATTCGCTCTAACGAAGGGCTAACGCTCGAAACATCAGCTTTTAAACTCTTCAGTTACGGTGGCCTATTTAGATCATCAACTCAGTTGATATACCAAATTACCTTGTTATACTCTCCCAATGACGCAGCAGCACAGTTTCTTTAGAACCTTACCCCCTTCATTCTATTGGAAAACAGTCCGGAAGACTGAGAGAGTTCGAGTTAGTTCATTTTACTTCTCTGCGAAGTGCGCTTCAAGGAAAATTGCGCGAATTTCGAGTCATCCAAAGTCGAGTTTGCGAGGTTCCACAGTACAACGATGAGTACGAAAGTAAGAGAAAAAGTCAAGTTGATAGACTTAAATCACGACATTACTATCCCCTCCCGAATTTAATGCAAAAATGAAATGTTCTTATAGCCAGGTAACAAATGCCAATCCTCAATTAACACATCGTGTTAAAAGGAACAAGTACCTACCAATCATCCAAGAGGTTTCTGTCCACAGAGAACAGTACACTGAAGTGACTCTCGCTGCAGATGACCCAGATGGGATACTTGGGGCTCTTGAAGTTGATACCAACCTTAAAATGAGACAAAAAGAAACAATCTTTCAGCAGCATGATCATCTCTTCATTGATCCTTTGAGCCCAAAGTGTAACCAGATTTTAGTTTCTCTTTACAAAAAAAACAATACATTATTACATGCCACGGTAACAAGAATGAAGGAAGTGATCTCTGAATAGAAACTGCTCTTGTCTGTGACAAATTCTAACCACAGTTGTTACAAGAAAATGAATGAAGACTTCTAAGGAGACTTCATAGGTAGACTCTGGGGCTTAGAGAATTAGAAGAACTTCTTGACGATTGTTAAAGGACTCTTTGTACGGTACAAAGCTACCGCAGACTCTACCGAGATACAATATATTGGTTGGGTAAGATAAGAAAAGATGAATGAGCCGGTAATGCACCTAGAAAAGACAAGGATGACTGAGATTGGATAAGATCAAAACGGAAGCCCGATGGGGAACTCAACAAATAAAACTTACCAACAATATTTGGTTACAATAGTTGATCTGCCTTACAACATGAAACGTTCAAAGACAACGTGACTAAAATGTAGCCCACCTCGCATGACTTGTAGTGTTCAAATAGCGACAGAAGTCCAATGTCGCTTTGTTTTTCTATTCCTTTAAATACATTCTAAAAAAAAAGGAATAATTTAAAAGGAGAATTTAGAAAAAGACAAAAATTGATTTTACTATTACAGTCCTCGATAACTGAACTATGAAATTGTGCACCAAGCAAAGTAAAAGAAAAATCATGCATCCGAGTGTTCACCTAGGCTACACATCCCCCCGCTCCCTCTACACGGTTTCTTCCCCCCCCCAAAAAAAAAATTGGTCGTTAGAGTCTTTCTTGGAGCCCCTTCTTCCATCCAACGGCCGCTGCCTATCGAGTCTCCTATGCTCCGGTTGGATGTTCCACATCTTTGTGTGTATGAAAACGCTTCCTATCAAAGATTTTTCTCTATACTGATCAAGGTTGAACAACTTTCGTTACCAAAACGTATTAGTGAAGTTACAGACGTCACCTTCTTTGCCCCTCCAGTGTCGATTTCCATAATGTTGTCAGATGTGTTGGATGTTGCTTTGCCAGTGACAATTAGGTTGACCATTTCCTTAAATGAGAGGACGTCAATAAGACAAAGTGAAGTATACTAGGCCAGCGGTATAGCATAAAGGAAAAGGATATCCGGGAACTTTGCGCGTAGAAAGCAAGCAGAAAAGTGAGCAAGACTGTAGTTAGTGTGTTTGCGTTCATCAAGCTCCTGTCTTTGAAGCCTTTGTGGTAACTTTTTTGATAAAGTTCAAAAGAAAATGGTAAGTAAAAAGAATACCCGCATTTTGCTTTCGACAAGTCTCAAGATTTCTTTTCCCCATTTTTCCTTCCTTTTTCAAATTATTTTCGTAAATTTTGCGTAACGACGTCTAGTTCTTCCACTTCCCTTTCAAATTTTGCGCGGGAAACTAGTGCGCGGCTGGCCAAAACTACCTCATTTGCGCATGCGTTACATTTGACTGCTGTAGTCACGCGAGGAAAACAGTCTTTCTCAACTTGATGCTCTATTCAAGGCAATCTAATTATGACTAACCTGCGTACAATAACCGTGGGCTCCCATCAGAGTATTTGTTGGTTCATCCATATCTGAGATTACCCTACGAAAAGACGAATACTATAACTTAGTCAGCTAAACAAGTGAGCCATAAATTTCGAAAGAAAAACCGAGAAAACACACGTACTTTTGAATTGATCTTGACAATATTGCGGAATATAACAACAAAATACACCCACTGCTTTTGTCAGATTCAAACTGAAAAGTAAAACAAAAAACATGGCTGTAAGAAACCCAGCAAGAACTGCATTTTCCATTATTTTTATCAAGACTTTTAACTCAATGTCTCATCAGCTTAAAGAACTGAGCACTCGCTAAGGAAATATATGGAATGCATATACCACATCACAAATGATACACGTCACACCACAAGTGTAGATTGTGCTTT